GTCCGTCCTCCTCCTGAGCCTCCTCCCTAGTTCCCACCCACTCCCCTCCCCATGTTGTTTCTACGGTGCGAGGACGCACCTTCCGGGAGGGGGGAGTAATGTCACGCCCCTGGACTCATTGTGTTGTGTTTTCCCTCCCTAGGTGTGCCGTGTTCCCTTTAATAAGTCATTCCTTGCACCTGTGTTTTCCCAATCACCCAGTGTTTAAAAACCCTAGTCCTTTCAGTTGGTTTTTGTCGGAGATTGAACGTCAACCCCTGTGTTTCCTGTGTTCCCAGCTGCCAAGTGTTACTTCCTGGATATTCTGAATTAAAAGACTATTGTTGTTCGTGTACTCCTGTTCTCCTCACTCCGCGCCATAGGCTAAAGTGTGACAGTTATCACATTGGTTTAATCTTTTTTTCAACTTGTTTTCTTTCAATTAGCACAGGTTTTGTATTTCTTTTTGGAACTGATTGATTATAGGCCTCATTAACCTGAGCTTATGCACCCCAGTTTTTAAATGAATATTGCCAAAATTATTCATAATGAGAGGTTTACATTTTTAAAAGCCTGGTTATTTTTGACTGAGAACATCAAATTAGGTGAAAGATTTTCAACACAGCACAAGGGTTAAGTCGTTGAGTCATTTTTTTAAAATTCTGCTAAATGTTAACACAAACTACTCTGTAATCTTCAATGTAATGTCTGATTGTTTATTTCACTGATTATTTCTAGACAAGCAAATTTGCAACCAGTGAGCAAAATTTATGAATATACTAAATACATTTAGAAAATAATAATAATAAAAAAAATAATTGAAGAATAACCCGAGGTTTGCATGAAAAAAAAGTTCATGTTATTGTATTTGACAGTCCAGTTCAAATCTCTAATAAGGGAGCCATGGCACAGCTGCTTCTTGGTGATGCAACTGTTACAAAACAAATTTAAAATTTAAAAATGTGAAAATACCAAAGCCACCAAATATTCTGTAATTAAATGACCTAAAACTGTATCTGTGAATTCTGAAATATTGTATGCATTATAAGCCTGTGTATTTTTCTGTATTTTTATTTGTATAGTCCTTATTTAAATTTGCATTTTGTTTACAATGAACAGATTTGCTTAGATTATTCAAACAAGGACTTGATAAGAATGTGAATCCTCATCAATATGTGTGTGGTCAAGGTTAAGAGGTCAAATCTCACGGTATGAGATCAAAAGTTGTGCCAGATATGAAGAACAGAAGAGTTTGGTGTTTATGGTCTCACAACAAGTTTTGTATTAATCTGTGTTGCCCCATTTTGTCTTGTCTGTTCTGTGTCATTACAGTAAATGAGCAATAAAAACAATAGTTCACATGAAATATTATACATGAAATATTAACAAGACATTACAAGATAACACTTTAAAATTTTGATCTATACGAAATTGATAGACTTATTTTTTTGCCTCCACAAAACATGTTTTGTTTAACCAGTGGGTGGTATTTGCTTGGAAAGCTGCTCCTTGTTGTGAAATGATCGGTGTGCGTCACCTTTCAGAAACTGGGAGTACAGCTGAATTTATTCCCACTTGTTTGCATTTTGGTTGCTGACACACATAAGCTTGAGACTAATAGAGAGGGCACTGTCCTTGGCACGGTCATCAACGAAAAACAGCAGCAAGATCAGTACACCAAAGTTTCCAGATTACATAAACAATCTCTAAAATAAAGAAATAAAAATATTTATAACCCGTTTAGCAGGAAGTGGGAAGAAATACACCTCACTAATTGTCCAGTCCGTTATTGAATCACCAAGTTGGAGGCGTAGTGTCGTTAAAAAAGCTTTCCTCACCCTATCCTAGATTATTCCAAATACACCTGTGAGAACCCACACCCTCTCAAACATACTAAATGACATGTGTCTATGTCCATGCATGACACAGTCTCAATCTTTTTCAGAACTTGGTTTTAGGGCTCTTGATAAACATTCAAAAACAGCAATTTCAAACTGAATAATTTAGCACATTTCTGCAGATCTCATGCACATTTTTAATGGTTTGATATTCTGTCCCATGATATAGCCTAGCAGTTTTTTTTTCTGCAGTGCATGTCAAATGTTATGTCACACCTTTAACGGTCAACCACTGAAAGTGATTATAAGTCATTTTATGCAAATGCTGTAATGTCGGCATTATTCATTTACTGTATGCACTTTTATTTTTAATCTACAAATTATACTAAACATTTAATTATTTCTGGATGGAATGCAAATGTTAAATAATATTTTGATTATTATATTATAATATACATATATGTAGATAAAGAGAAAATGTCCTTACATCTTTTTCAAACCCTCACTTATTTATTTATTTATTTATTTACATACTTACTTTTTTAAAGTTTATAATAGCTTTCAAGTATGACAATATTTTTATAATGTATTTTAATTTAAGAACAAGGGTTAAGTCACTGAAATAAATCATGACTGCCTGAATACGGATTCTAAGTCTTTAATGTCTTAATTTCATTTCATTTCATGCTTGTATTGTATAGTGCTGTATAATTTATTAGATTTTTTTAGTTTAATTAAATGTTTTTGTTATTATTATTATTATTATTGTTATTTTACTTTTTCAAGTTTACCATAGTTTTTAAAGTATAACAATATTTTTTACTGTGGATTTTAATAGTTTAAGATGTTTGAGGAACAAGGGTTAAAAGACATTGAAATAAATAACTGCCTGATTACTTTTAATGTGACCTTCATTTATTTTATTTACTTATTTTTTATTATTATTATTTCACTTCATATTAAAATGTTCTAGGACTTTTAATGTGATCTTTGTTAATTTAATTTAATTTAATTTAATTTAATTTTATTTTATTGTTTGCTTTTATTTTATTGTTTTCCAATGCATAAAAGTCATAACTTGAGTGATTAATACAGCTTGTTTGTCAAAGTAATCTTTGCAAACAACAAAAAAAGTGGGAAAAAAAGTGACTTAAGTAAACCAGTCCACTTACTTGTTACACAACACAAGAGGAAATCGATCCCTAATTATCCAACTCTTCATACCAGTTGCTCAACTTTCCTTCCCTTGGTGTGGTAGGACAGGGAGGAGGCAGAGGTGTATAAAAGTGCGCACTTGTGTGATGGGATCAATGGGCGAGTTCTCTGCGCATGTGCTGGACTAACTGCACAGGATGCTGCTGTCGCTACTCCCGCCGCCGCTGCTGCTGCTGCTGCTGCAATGGTCGATCACAAGTGGAGCCACCGATCCGTAAGAACCTTTATGATTATTATCTTCACAAATACAAGATAACAAGAAGGTCCGCAGGTCGAGGACCAGACGAATGTCTTCCACAACTACAATAGACACTGATGAAAAGTTTAGGACAACTGCACTTTTGTGTTCTCACGTGCAACACACTGTAAACATTTTATTTTTAGATTTACGGTAAAAACGTACTGTAAGAGAGACACAGTGGCGATGTTGCAAGCATTACGAGGAGCGTTTTTGTGACCGTACATTAAAGAATATTAAAATATGCCATTTTAGCTATTAAATCTGTGAGTTAAAGCAATATTGGCCTATCCAACAACTCAATAACGACAACACAGTGTTACCCATACAAACACATAACACCATCAGTATCACACATAACGCTAAATAATGCTAAACTAATAACTGAAAATACAGAATAGAATCAAATGTCAAGGTTTGTGCAGGGAATTCTGGGACTGCCCAATAAATTACAAGGCTTTACCTTTAATTAGTTTACTAGGCTACTTAAAAAAGTACAATATAATATATAACTACACTACTGATTAAACGTTTGGAATAGTTACGTTTTTAAAAAATGTAAAAAAACAAAAAAAACAAAAAACATTAATATTATGAAGCATTATTAATGCCATTTATTCCTGTGATGCAAAGCTGAATTTTCAGCATCATTACTCCAGTCTTCAGTGTCACATGATCCTTCAGAAATCATTCTAATATGCTGATTTGCCGCTCAGGCAACATTTCTTTCTTTTTAAGCAATTAATACTTCTGTTCAGCAATGACACATTAACTTTTATCAAAAGTGTCATTTGTTATGTTACAGAAGACTCTATTTCCAATAAATGCTGTTCTTTTGAACTTTCTATTCATCTATTCATCATGTTTTTTCACAAAAATATTAAATAGTAAAATCTGTCTTGAACTTTGATAATAAGAACTATTTTTAATAATTGAGCACCAGTAATAATGGATACAAATTGAGCAGCACCCGCATATTAGAATGATTTCTGAAGGATCATGTGACTGAAGACTGGAGTAATGATGCTGAAAATTCAGCTTTGCATCACTGGAATAAATTACATTTTTAAATATATTCAAATAAACACTTTTTACATTTTAAATTGTAATATTATTTCACAATATTACTGTTTTTACAGTAATCATTAAATAAATGATCAAATAAATTGTTCAAATAAATGCAGCCTTTGTGACTTGCAGACTTCTTTCAAAAACATAAAAAATCATAATTATTCCAAGCTTTTGACCAGTAGTCAAAAAGTAAAATATAAATGTTATTATTATATTTGTTTAAATTATATTGTAATGCAACACTATATGTATTGTCTGGTTAAATATAATATGATTTTCTTTTTAATTCTGAGGTAATTCATAATAGATAATAGTGTCACATTTATACTGCACCAACCACTTACACAAGGTTTTTTTTTTTTTTTTTTACACTGCAAGTGCAGCCATCCCTAAAGACACCCAATGAACGTTCCAGGCACAGTTACAGAAATTCAGAGTCACTTCCTCAACTGTGCATTCACCCAAAACAACCCCAGGCTCATGCAACACTAAGCGTATGCTTTTAAAAGCATTTTATTGTCATTGTATGGTTTATGCAAGTCTCTAAATGTATTTCTTTGTGTTTTGTCTTCTTTTAGCATATACCTGGTGACAGTCACTTCCCAGGTGGTGGGTGGCAAGACAGAGACTCTGTGTGCACAGATCCACGAGCCCAAAGAACCGCTTTCTATAGTGGTAACTTTGAGGACTGACAATCGCAATCTGACCATTCTACAACAGGGCTCAATTAAAAAGGATTTCTACAAATGTGTCCCTTTTAAGGTCAGTATACTCAGTATAGTGTAACAGAATAGAGAGTAAATCGACTGTACTTACAGTACAGTACAGTACAGTGGTGTATCTTGTAATGCTATGGAGGTCATGGCCCTTTCCTACATCATGTCTGTACAACACTTATAAATTTACATTAAGGTTAAAGAGGTTAAAATACAGTTAACGTGCTAGTAAAACCCTAAAACTTTCATTTATCATTCATCTTGCATATATGTTTCACTACTGAATTGTTCAGCGGTCCCTGCAGTCTTGATGTTGCTTTCAAACCTATAGTCTGCAGTCTGTAAGTGGATTTATACGCTCAATATTTTCTTGATTTGTATTTTCCAGGTCCCTGTAGTCACTGTAGAGTCTGTGGCATCCGTCGATGTTGCAATCCAAGGGGCCAAAACATCCCTGAACAAAATCACTAAGATCCTCATAAATCCCCCCCAAAATCTTCTTTTCATCCAATCAGACAAGCCTATCTACAAGCCTGGACAAACAAGTAATACTTCTCTTTGTAAATTATTCCAAAATAGTTTAAGTTGTCAGTTCTCATTTGTTCTTATTAATATGAGCCTGTGAGTCTTTCTGTATTGCATACTTTATGTGTAAATATTCTTTCTGGAAATCTCTCTTCACCAGTTAAATTTCGCATTGTGTCTCTGGATTCCAATTTCTTGCCTCACAATCAAGTGGTAAATTGAATTTAATTTATGTGAAAATTATTTCATATATAAATATATTATTGTTCTTTTGACCTAACTGAAATGATTTTCTTCTGTCTTTCTTTTGCAGTTTCGAACTGTAGAACTCCGGGTAAAATCCTTCAAGCAGCCATGATCTGTTCATTGTTTGTTACTTTACTTAAATGCAGGTTGATTCCACTGTAGGCTTTTTCATTATGTGCCACTCTTGTTTAGGACCCTTATTCAAATCGCATTGGTCAGTGGTTGAATCGGACCACAAGGATTGGTATTTTGGATCTGTCCCACTCCATGTCTCCAGAAGCCTCTCAGGGTTACTACACGATCACTGCTTGGGATGATAAGAACCAACAAATATCACATGGCTTTGAAATTAAAGAATATGGTCAGAACCAGGATTCAACTTTTGCCAGTCCAATACTGATCAGCTTTTAAAGTGTACAATTTTTTAAAGTATTTTTTTTCCCACATGCATGTTTTAGTTCTGCCAAAATATGAAGTGAACATCGATTTTCCATCCATTATAACCACCCAGGACAAAGTGGTCACTCTGAAAGTTTGTGCAAAGTAAGAATTTTTTTTTTTACAAATAATCATTTATTTGCAGATAAATGAGGTGCATACCTGTGTTTCAGTTATATGTTCAGCCTGATGAAATACTTTTTTCACTCTCTTTAGATACACTTATGGCAAGCCTGTGCTGGGGTCTGTGAATGCTGAAGTGTGCAGCCAGATCTATGGTTATTATTGGCGGAGACCTTTCCCTGACATGGTTAACGTATGCAAGAAATATTCAATGACGGTGCGTTACCCTCTGCACACACAAAAATGTTACCTTTTGGGCTTGTAATCCTAAAAGCACTGTACTAATTAGCATTTATCCTCTTAAACATCTTTAAATATCATAAGGTCCCAATTACAAGAAATAGCAATGAGCTGATATTACTGTATTGTATTATTCAATATTACACCTAAAGTGTATATATTTTAGGCAACTTCCATAATGCTGGTCGGTGTTTTCGGCAGTACACTTCAAGTTAAAATGTTAAAGTAAAGGTTAAAGTCTTAAACCATATTTCAGAGACAATAGAAGTAATTAAGATGTACTTCAGTCCTACTTAGTGGGTAAACAATAATTAAAAATAATAATTTAAACTATAAAACATTCATCATTTCATTTAATTGCAATTAACATGCACTTAAGTGTCCGAAAACATTACATTCAGTTTGCATTTAAGTGTATCTTACAACTCTAATTCCAAATAAGGTGGGACGCTGTGTAAAATGTAAGTAAAAACATAATTTTTAAATTTACTTTTTACACCGCATCTCAGCTTTTTGGAATTAGGGTTATATAAAGTACATTTATATATTTCTGTAATAAGTACTCCTTTAAAATGACATGTATGCCAAAGTGTACTTTTTCACAATGGTCCATATTGCAACATATTTAAGAAGTCCAAATAATCATTTTCTTTTCATTCTTATTCATTCAGACTGATAAGACTGGCTGTGGGTCTCGGGTGATAAATATGACAGAATTGGGCTTGACTTCAGGAGGGTCTTTGCAAGTGAATTGTAATGTGGAAGAGTCTGGAACAGGTGAGAGTGTAGAACAAACGGCTGTTGTCCATTTTTATTCAGCAAAATAGAGTAATGAAACATGGTCTTTTGTTCCTCCAGGGATAACTATGCAGGGTTCTACCTCAGCTCAGTTTACCAGTGATTATGTCTATGTTAACTTTGAGGACACACCAGATACATACAGGCCTGGCATGGCCTTTAAAGGAAAGGTAACGGCTAGCTTGAAGTCATTAGCTTTGCTACTAATTATTGAGCAAATGCTTCCAAAGCAACTCTACAGTACACATGTTTTTATAACCATCTTTATAAAAAGTTCATAACTGTACCATAACTGTTATTTTTGTCCGACTTTGTACAATGCAGCATTAATAAACAACCTATTTAGCAGTTAGCATAGCCATATTGTGTACAGGAAGTGTTACTTTTGTTTGTGAGCTAATCATTTTGTCTTTTTTTTTTTTTTTTTTTTACAGTTTGTGGTTACTAATTCCCAGTCCAGACCAATGAAAAATGAGCCAGTTATTGTATATGCACATTATGATGATAAAAGTATCAATGTGACACTGACGACAGACATCAATGGTACTGCCCACTTCTCCTTCAACACTTTGGATTGGTCAGAAAAACCTGTGCAATTACAGGTTAGAGGTGTTTTTGTTTTCTAACATGATGTTTATGTATATAATTCGGGTATCGATTTTTAAACTTTTTTTTATTAGGTCCATCATAAGGGAGGTATAGAACGGACTGATTTTGAGGCTTTTAGATATTATCCATCAGGCTATCACTACGTAAGACCCTTTCACTCCAAAAGCAAAAGTTTCCTGATGTTGACGAAGGCTCCAGAGAAGCTCAGCTGTAACAGTGATGCAACAGTGATGGCCAGTTACATCATCCAGGGCAGTGCACTCAGAACAGGCCAGAAAACCTTGGATTTCTTCTACATTGTATGTTTAACACTGACACTCTTTTTTATTTGTCCATCAATTGCTTGGTCATTTGTTTTAATGCTCAACATGGTCTTTTACCTTTTTTTTTTTTTTTTAAGGAAGCATGATATACCAGCACCATATTAGTTTTTAGCCAATATTAAAGATTTATTTGATTATCTGTGTAGGTTTATATTGGAACCTTATATTATGTATAACTTATAAATATAATTGTATATGCTGATTTTCCCAGTTGTTACGTTTAGATGAATGCCCTCTTACATTTGATTTTAAAAACACTAAAAATTGAATAGCATTGTTAAAAGTAATTTTAAGCAAATCTCAAAATTAAGATCAGTTTTTCATACTGTACTATATATTATAATGTTATAATATAACTTAATTTTTTATTAAAGTTTATTTAGACAAAATAGTCCAGACTTTTAATATTGACCATTTATTGCTGCCATAATATGAAAATAGTTAGCAGGACTGGACAGAATTTCAATATTTGTGGTTTCCTACCTTTTTTGGTAGATAAAACAGAATTTTTCTTGAAGGTTTCCTAAATCTTGTAGCTATTATCACGAAAGAGAAAATATGATGAAAAAAAATCACAATGCTAGTGAAGCTGTAGAACACAGAATTACATCAATTGTAATTATCTACCTGCACTCCAGGTCTTGTCCAGAGGCAGCATGGCTCAAAATGGTCGTTTGTCTGTGAGTGTGAACACCGGGAGAGGTACACAGCTCTTTTACATTAGCAATCACTTTGTTGTCTTATTGTCTAAGAATATTTATATGGTCTTTGTACATTGTGCTTCAGCATGCACTTTTTTGTTTCCACAAATGCTCTCTCTCTTTCATAAAAGAAAACAAAGGAGAACTGACATTCTCACTGAAGAGCACGGCAGCTCTGACTCCATACGCTCAGGTGGTGGTTTACACAGTTCTTCCCAATGGAGAAGCTGTAGCAGACAGTATGAACTTCCCCATTGAAGAATGTTTGCCAAACAAGGTCAGAAAATCACACATGAAATCTCATTTTAGAACTCAGTGTGCCCTTCAAGCTTTTATGTGTTTTTTTTTTTTTCATTTTGTATTTATTTATCATTAATGTGTGATGAGAGCGTGCCTGTGCTTTTACAGGTGTCCTTAAAGTTCTCGTCTCCCACCGCACTACCTGGAGAGAGGACATCTCTTAACCTGAAAGCCAGCCCTGACTCCTTGTGCTCCGTGCGGGCCATTGATCAGAGTGTGCTGCTGTTGAGACCAGAGGCCGAGCTGAATGCAGCCTCTGTATGTTAAACCATAATGCACATTACAACTATAACTAGCTGATCATCTTTATTTAAAGATATGGGTCAGGGACGTGGCACTATATATATCAAATTTGATTAATTTTCAAAAATGAGTCAAATACACTTCTTTCACAATAAGCATGTTTTTAATTTCTCAATTAAAATTTATTTTGATAATTTTTGGGGAGTAAAAAATGAAGTAAAAATGTCAGAGTGTGAAGTAACAAATGTGAGTGATACAACTGTCCCAATATTGAAGAAGAAAAAAAAAGCCTCATTAAAAGAATATAATTTCTAATAAGAAACTTTTAAGTAGGTTAACATAATCTTTTATATCATTAAATATTTTAACAATATTTAAAAAAAAATATTTAAACAAAATTGAAAAAAAAAAAACTTCTACATGTATTTATTTTTTAGAAATAATATAAATATAATATAAATAAATAATGCAACATTTTATTATTTGGAAAAAAAATTCAACAATGCTTCACTGCTTATTAATATTTTAAAGACAAAACTCATGTGGTGTCAGGAAAATATGTTATTAATTTTTACTTGGGTAAACCACATGACATTAGAAATATTTTTATTTGTTAAAAAATATTTTAACAAAATATTTTAATATTAAAAAAATATTTTAATAAAAATATTGCTCCACTGCTTATTAATATTTGTAAAAACTGAATTCATATGGTGTAACGAAAATATGTTATTAATTTTTACTTGGTGGATACACTACATGACATTTTTAGAATCATTAAATTGAAACATTTTTTTGAAAATTATATAAATGTTTTTTAACCACATAAAATATATATAAATACAAAAAGTACATTTCTGGAATATGTGTAATAAAGTAGATTTTTATATTATTTATTTATTTATTATGGACAATTATAGCAATTTTTTTTTTTGTTTGTTTGTGATTATTAGGTAATTGTCTTGTCACTGCTATGGTTCAATATATGTTATTACTCTACAGGTCCTTCGAATGTTACCAGTCCAGATTTCGTCAGGTTACCCATACAACATTGAGGAGTGGGAGTCTAACCCCTGCCGACATCCCTGGGAGATAATCCCTTTTGCTGAACCTGCGAGGCGCAAGCGCTCCTCCATCTATTACCCTTACTACGACAACAAAAATGATGTCTACAACATCTTTAGAGTAAGATACGCAACATGTCCCATTTCTTATTTCAGAGGTCCTCCAGTGTCATCTGAGTCTCACTGTACACTATTCATCTTACACACAGTAACATACTGTAACACTTACCTTTTCCTAGGGAGTTGGAATCAGAATCACTACCAACTCTGATGTGAAAGCACCTGTTGTTTGTCGTTATTATAAGACAATGTTTAAGGAAGGTAAGTAACTTGATTTTTTTAGGATTTGGAAATGCCCTTTTTATCTGATTTTATTTACAAACTATCAATTCAAACAGCTGCTGTGGACGATGGTTTGCGCAGAGACTTTGACGGGCCAGAGATAGGGTTTGGTTCAAAAGTGTCAAAACCTGCTCAGAAGATCCGCAAATTCTTTCCAGAAACCTGGATATGGGATCTTATACCTGTGGGGTATGTATCTTGCACCATGGCACTACTGTATATACTGTATACATCACAGTCCTTTTTAATTATGCAGAAAAAAAAAATTTATATTGGGGGGGAAAAAATGTAACAACTGCTTCTGTGCTTTTTAATATTTTGAAAACTTTCTAAAATACAAAATTCATATTTTTTCTTTCACCAGGAGATCGGGATCTGTGGATGTCGCAAAGATTGTCCCGGACACCATCACTAAATGGGCAGCAGGAGCTTTCTGCACATCCCCTGTCGGGTTTGGAGTGGCCCCCAAGACTGATCTCACTGCTTTCAAGCCCTTCTTTGTGAGCCTCACGCTCCCCTACTCTCTTATCCGTGAGGAGACGTTCACTCTTAAAGCTTCTGTATTCAACTACCTCCCCAAATGTATCATGGTAAGCCCCCTTAATGTGTTTACTTGTTTGTCCTGGAATGGTTTTGCAAGTGTTTGTAGTAAAAGCATTTTTCCTGTAGGCTGCCACTGTACAAACCTCTCTCTTTTAATAAAGGTGAAGGTCACGCTGGCAGACTCACCGCAGTTCACAGCTCAACCGTGTAGAGGCTGCACATACACTCAGTGTGTTTGCTCTGAAGAGAGCAAAACCTTCCAGTGGATTATTACACCATCTGTACTGGGTAAGCCAGAGACTATGACTTCTATATGAGCAAAAACAAACATAAATTTGATTTTTTATTTCAATTTGATTCCCTAAACGGAAAAGCTTATTTTATGTTTGATCATGTTTGTACCAGGACACGGTATTACACTTATAATAGGAATGTCTTAAAGTCCGTTCATCCAAAAATGAAAATTCTGTCATCATTTACTCGCCCTCATGTTGTTCCAAACCTGTATGAATTTCTTTCTTCTGCTGATACAAAAGATATTTCAATTTGATTCCCTAAACGGAAAAGCTTATTTTATGTTTGACCATGTTTGTACCAGGACACGGTATTACACTTATAATAGGAATGTCTTAAAGTCCGTTCATCCAAAAATGAAAATTCTGTCATCATTTACTCGCCCTCATGTTGTTCCAAACCTGTATGAATTTCTTTCTTCTGCTGATACAAAAGATATTTTGAAGAATGTTGGTAACCAAACATGGAAAGACATGGAGGTGAGTAAAAGATGACAGAATTTTCTTTTCGGGTGGACTATCCTTTTACCACGTCCTGCCTTGACTGTCACAGATTTGTTTACTATTACCGGTCCCAGGGGTACTTTGTTTCTTCTGTAACTTAACTTTCTTCTGCAACCGCTGTCACTGGTGTATGTGTGTTTTACAGGAAAGGTGAACATTACAGTGCGCGCTGAGGCGGTGCAGAGCCGAGAACTGTGTGGCAATGAAGTGGTGACTTTGCCGGACAGGGGCAGAACTGATACTGTGATGCACAGCGTTCTGGTGGAGGTACGTGCCTTTACTGTATGTGAGCTTTCTGAAACCATGTGACTTTTCAACATTCGCTCTTCAACATAAACATGCTAACAAGTCAACAGGAAATAAAAATGTACTAAATGTATTTTATTAATACATATTTCTAGTCATAATGTGTTGCAACAGTGCACATTATTCTAAAGAAAAAACACATTATTCTAAAGCTATTTAATATAGCTATTAAATTATAATATTTCATATTTCAATAGCTATTTCTGTATTGTTTTGAGTCTTAAAATTAGTTAAAAGTGATTTAGTGACACATACTACTAAGTTTATGAAAGTAATATATTAATGCATATATTTTTTATTATAATTTAAGAGTTTATAATTTTATCTATCTATCTATCTATCTGTCTGTCTGTCTGTCTGTCTGTGTCTATCTATTTGCTTTTTTGTTTTGCTTTAAAAATACAATTGAAACTGTTATTATTACCCATATATTTCTCAGGCAGAGGGAACTAAGCAGTCAATCACTCAGAATGAACTCATCTGCTTAACAGGTTAGTGGCATTACAGTGTCTTGTGTTGTCTATTAAAATAATAATTTAAATTTGAATTATTCCAGCTTTAATAGAAGTTAACCGCTGTAACATGCTGTCAGTTACCACATGCCACAGATAATAATTTTGAGCTTCAGTTTGTTAAAATAAGCAAAAATCCATTTTACAGTAATGCACTCACAGTGGAAGTCAATGATGCAAGTTTTTATTGCATTGGATAAATATATAGTTCAGTCATGAAACTCTAGATGGAACAGGCGACTGGTTGTTAATGTAACCGATGATATTCAGAGAGTTAAATGACTTGGCACAAGCTGATTGGTTCATGCTGCATATGCAGCCAATGAGCTTACTGCCTTGCATTTATATGGCTGGCTAGCATTCACTAGAGATTCCTGCAGCACGCTTTCAGAGTTTCTCTGAAACCCTCCACCTTCCCCAGCTCCACCTGTATAGATCTGCTACGGGTTATTTTATATGCTATTTGTGCAGCAGCAGCATGTCTTAAATACTCACGGCAC